GTGTAGAGTTCTGATGGTTAAATCTGCAGTAGTTTGTTTATAAGGATCTTCATATAATAGAGACATAGCTTCAAAGAACTCATCCAATGAATCTAATATGGGGTCATCATTCTCTAGAAAGGAATGTGCCCAGGCCATAGAAAAGAGATCACAGAACAGACCTTAGATCTTTCAGTGATATAAGATCTAGGTCTTAAAGCTATCAGAAGTTTGCAGGAATTTAAGAACTCTCTGTACTTTGATCTATCTCCATAAAATTTTTCTGGGTTGCAGACAGCAGGATCGCTAGCCGATTGAAGAGAGGCATGAGGAAGATGACCTTGTATGTCTCTGACATATGTTAATATTCTCTCGTTTGTAATCTGCAATTCTTGTAAGCCCTGAGCAATTGTATCAACTCTATTGGTCAGGGCAGAGACTTGAGAGTTAATATCTGCTGGTTCCATTGAAAAAGGCTAGATTATTCTGCTAAACTACTGGAACGCAACTGCAGAAAACTTTTAATTACATCAATTTATAATTTTATTCTTTTTTGTTATTGAATTGCAGGAGTGGATACTGTAGCTTTAAACCCTTATAGCAGGTTGTTAGTTGCAGGAAAAATAAGCCACTGAAGTTTTGCACAAGCCAAGCAGTCCCAATCAAGGATAGTGCAGAGAATGCATGCAGAATTAGGTTGAATTAAATGTAGTAGAATTAGCTTCAGGCGAGTTTAACAATGAGGCAGATTCTTATTTGTAACTGAGAGCAATTGGATTGAAGGAGAATTACTTAGCTTAAGAGGCAGTTTCTTATTTGCAAGTGAGAGCAATTGGATTGAGGAAAAAGTACTTAGCTTAAGAGGCAGATCCAGGTAACTGGAGAGATCAAATTAATCAGTTCCTTAGGGGAAGGAGTAGAAGTCCGTTTAACAATCCGAGGTCGAGGAGTGGAGAAAGAGGGTAGTCGTTTCCAGAGCGATTTCGGTACACGGAGAAGCTTCAATTGAAATTGAGTAGCCGGTAATTGTTTCACAGGCACCTGTTCAATAATCCAGCGCTTTGAATCTGGCGCGGTCTTCCTATGTAGCGTGGGAAGACCGCGTCAGAGAAGGGGCGGGGCAAAGCTCCGTCAACCCGGAAGTGGGTTAATTCGGCGAAACCCGGCAGGTATAACCTGACAACATCCCACTAGATCCCCTCATCGACACCTCCACGGGACGGAGTAGCATTCCACACTCCGCGATAAGGACGGTACACAAAGCACTCCGGGACCTACGACTGGTGGACACATGGAGAGCATGACACCCAGACGACCGGGATTATACGTTCTACTCCACGATACACAAAAGATACTCCCGAATAGACTACGTATTTATCCAACAGGAAGGCCTCACGTACATGCAGAGAGCAGACATACACACTACACCATGGTCAGACCACAGTGCGGCACAAGTCACGATGACATCGCCCATGTTCCGACCAACCAAAACCGCATGGCGGCTGAATGACTCGCTCCTGATGGACACGGTACTCAGGACCCAACTCGAAAAACACTTGAAACAATACTTCACAGAAAATACCACCGAGGAGGTTTCAGATATGACGATATGGGAAGCACACAAAAGTGTCATCAGAGGACACCTAATTCGTATGGCCTCCCGACGGAAAAAGGAAATCGGACAACAGCTAGCGGACCTCACACAGAAGATATCTGACCTAGAAATGGCCCACAAACAGGACCAACAAGACCAGACCTACAGGGACCTAATATCGAACAGGCGGCAACTCTCAGAACTTATTGAGAGCAAACACGCCAGAACGATCCGAAGGACACGAGCATTCTTCTACATGCATGCCAACAAGGGGGGTAAATTGCTAGTAAGGATGCTGAGAGGAGCACAAAGCAGGGCACAGGTACACGCACTGCGCACCACACAGGGCACACTAACTCAATTCCCAGAAGAAATCGCGAGCGAATTCCAACGGTTCTACACACAGCTATACAATACACGTGGAGATGAAGACAGAATATCCCGAACCACGAGGAAGACAGATACGACAGACTACCTAGTGGGCTTTCAACCAGATACCCTCACACCAGAGGAAGCAGAAGAGCTAGATACGCCGATCACCGAAGAGGAACTCAAACAGGCACTGAAGGTAGCAAAAACTGGGAAAGCGCCAGGATCGGATGGCTTCCCAATAGAATACCTTAAGAAATTCGGAAATATCCTCATACCCCATCTAACTAAGGCATTAAATAGCATACACGAAGGGCACACCTTCAACAGGGAAACCTTAGCTGCAACCATCACGGTCATCCCAAAGCCGGGCAAGAACACGGAGCAAGTCGGAAATTACCGCCCAATATCACTCCTTAACACCGACATAAAACTGTTCTCCAAAGTGCTAGCGACGAGACTCCAAACCCACCTGATGAAACTAATACATCCAGACCAGACCGGTTTTATCCCGGGGAGAGAGGCCAGGGACTGCACCCTCGGGCTATTTGCAGTACAGCACCTAGCCAAACAAACAAAGACGAAGCTACTCCTACTCTCCACAGATGCGGAGAAAGCATTTGACAGAGTGGACTGGAACTTCATGACGGAGACATTACGCACGATGGGCATGGGACATGGATTACTCACTTGGATCACCGCGCTATACAATCAGCCGAATGCCAGGGTCAGGGTGAATGGGGCTCTCACGGATAGCTTTGATATTCGGAACGGCACAAGACAGGGATGCCCGCTGTCCCCGATCATATTTGCCCTGACTCTGGAGCCGCTCCTGGACCGCATTCGGAAAAACCAGGGGATCACAGGGCTCAGCTACAAAACGCAAGAACACAAAGTCGCTGCCTACGCATACGATATGCTGTTTTTCCTTAAGAATTCAGTAGATTCCATACCACAGTTATTGACCGAATTCAAAAACTATGGGCTAAAACTCAACCTGACAAAGTGTGACATTCTTAACGTCACCGTACCCAAGACCGAATGCACGCAATTGGAACAAGGATTCCCATTCCACTGGTGCCATGAACGAATGAAATACCTGGGACTATGGATCACACATGACGTAAAGGACATCTACGCACACAATTACACACCCCTTCTAACCACCATCCTTGGAGACCTCAAGAGGTGGAACTACGCGCACATATCATGGCTGGGGAGGATAGCGGTTATAAAGATGAATATCCTCCCCAGGATCCTGTACCTTTTTCACACAGCACCACAAACGATACCACAATCGTTTTTCGCAACACTCAAGACGGCGCTCATACAATACGTGTGGAGAGGGGACAGGGCACGAATTAGCTACGAAAAGCTCTGCCTTCCGAGACGTTGGGGAGGATTGGCGCTACCGGATGTCAAACGATACCACCAAGCCACAGTACTACAGAGGTTGAGAGAACTACATATAGCTTTGCCCCACAAAAGGTGGGTGACATTATGGAGAGACACCACAGACAATCGATTGCACACGCTGATGTGGCACAAAGAAACGGAAGCACAAACAATCCTGGGAGAGGACTCCCCAGTTACACAGACACTGAAACACTGGAGCATACTGAGAAAGGAACCACAGATATCGCCCAAACCGAGCCCACTAATCCCCATAAACCATAACCCACACCTGGGCGATGGACTCGCGCCGTCTGCCTGGCCGATAGACAGCCAAGAGGGATACATACCCATACACATTATGCTTAATAATATGGGAGTGAAACCGCTAGGAGAAATAGCAGACGGAAGACCGACCACGCTCCTGCACCAATTCCATTACACCCAGTTGAAGCACTACTACCATAACCTGCCGCATATGGCTAAAATCCACAGAGACCTTACGTGGTACGAGACACTGTGCTCACAAGCACCGGAAGCAGACGGGAGAGTCTCGGCGATATATCAAACCCTAATCACGGGAAATAGCGCAAAAAACAACCTATACAAGCGCCAATGGGAAGAATGGACAACTAAGTCCTTCACGGACGACCAATGGGAAAAAATCTTGATACTTCAACACAAGAGCTCCTCTAGCTCCCACTTCCAGGAGGTCAACTACAAGTTCCTAGCGCATTGGTATCGCACACCATCCTTACTCAGCCGATACATCCCGACTATCCCGAACACTTGCTGGAGATGCAACGAGGGCACTGGCTCAATACGGCACATCTGGTGGGACTGCTCGAAAATTCAAACATACTGGAGGAGCATAGAACACGAAATACAAGACATACTAGATGACCCCCCACGACTAACAATGGAAGCAGCCCTCTTACACCACACGGAGCAACCTCTTTCTACATATAAAAAAATCGATCATGAGGCATCTGCTAAATGCAGCGAAATCCTTGATCCCACTGCATTGGAAGAAAGAAGATCCACCCACAATGGAACAATGGAAACGCAAAGTGGAAGAAATACGGACTGCAGAAGCCAAGATAGCCGACCTGTTGGGAAGAGGAGAACGGCACACGGAAATGTGGACACCGTGGCTATTATATATAGTGTAGAAGACGAGACGCGAGAGGACACACAGTAGGACCCACGCAGAGGAGGGGACATGGGGGATCCGGGCGCGCCAAGAGGGTGACCCGCACACCTCAGCCTTACTACCCCCCCCACCAACTGCTCCCCCCTTTACTCCCCCCTCACCGACACAACCAGAGACAACACACAAACACAAACACGATCCAGAGCAAGACACAAGTAGGGGCGGTGCCCCTGATGACGCTGTGGAGCAGGAGACGGGCGAAACCCACGATATCGCTGGGGATCAGGAGGGGACAAGTGGGGTTAATAATACACAAAAGGGGAATTCTCCCAGAAAGGCGGAGAGCCGCCGCGGACAAGAGAAGACACAAAGCAACAACACAACAGGGGAAACATGGGACTTCACTACTGGCTGGGCCACACGATACACCACCACCACATGTATAGATGGAGGGACAGATACCCACAGACACACACCGATCGACACAGGAAATGAAACCGGGAGACAACCGCACCAACACTAGACTGAACAAACACAAGGTTCCACTTACCTCCACGAGCAAGGAACTCACATAGGCAAAACACACAACAATTAGAAAAGGCCACACATGCGACCACTACATACTACTTGAACAATAACCACCAGGAAAATTGCAAACTAGATGGAGGCAATAATGAACACATACAGAGACGTGGAGAGGGAGACCGCAGGACTCAGGAGAAACCTAGCGAATCGCTAGGAATTAGTGATGTCGCGAACCCGAAATTTTCGGTTCGCGAACGGCGAACGCGAACTTCCGCAAATGTTCGCGAACCGGCGAACCGCCCGAAACTCCATTGACTTCAATGGGGAGGCGAATTTTAAAACACACAGGGACTCTTTCTGGCCACAATAGGGATGGAAAAGTTGTTTCAAGGGGACTAACACCTGGACTGTGGCATGCGGAGGGATCCATGGCAAAACCCATGGAAAATTACACAGTTGATACAGAGTCTGGTTTTAATCCATAAAGGGCAGAAATCACCTAACATTCCTAAATCACAATCAATATGGATTGACACCTTGACATGGATTGACACCTGTCCTCAGAGCCCCTGATGCACACGGACACAGAGCAGAATAGAGACTGGTTCCCCTATATAGGGTCACTTGGCAGATATGGATTGACACCTGTCCTAAGGATCCCTGATACACACTGACACAGAGCAGAATAGGGACTGTTCCCCCTACATCGGGTCACTTGGCAGATATGGATTGACACCTGTCCTAAGGTTCCCTGATACACACTGACACAGAGCAGAATAGGGACTGGTCCCCCTACATCGGGTCACTTGGCAGATATGGATTGACACCTTGTTACAAACTGCTATTTGTAACGGGCCCTTTAAATGGCAAATTGCCCTGCTTCCCTGGGTTGTGGAGAAGCCTACTTGCCAGCCTCCTCCCGCATGACTATGGCCCCTGGGAGATTGTGAAAATGTATGCACTTTTATTTGGTGTGTATGGCCCTTTAAGACTGTCGGTGGGCATATTGGGGCTTATGGACTCTTTATGTGACTGGTGCTGGCCCTTTAAACACCTTTTTTGGGACATCAGGAAGATTGGGACACTGCCCCTTTAAGGCCGTGTCCCCAGACTTGTTGGGGACACGGCCCCTTTAAGACGGTGTCCCCTGTGTCCCCAGACCTGGTGCAAACCCTTGTGCCTGCCTTGCTATT